ATTTTTTTTTTTAACGAAATTAATCCAGGTGAATCTAAATCTTTTCCACTTGGGGAGTATAGAGCATAATGAAAGATTGCTTTTTTTCATTTTAAATATAAAATGTTTACATATTGGTTTTACAATTATGGTATAATTGCTGCTCAAGATGGGTCACTCTGTCAGTTTTAGACAGGTTTTAAAGTCTCTATATTCCAGTTAAGGATGAATTGATTACTAAATTAATGGATTTTTATCAGCATTATATGTTTTATAGATAAATAAGTTGAATGGAGTTGAGTTTTAATGTCCGTCATTTTTTAGAGTGAAAATTTGCGAATACAGAGTGAGAGCGTGTGAAGACACTGAGATGTGCGAGTCTCACACACTGCAAAAATGATCTCAAAATGAGTAAAAATGTCTTAAATTGAGGGTATTTACCCTTAATTTGAGCAGGTAAATAAGATGATTTGCCAATGGAATTAGTATTTTTACTCTTAAAATAAGGTATCTAGATAAAATGCACTTATGTTAGGAAGAAATGACTTATTTAGATTTCATTTTTTTGGAGTGCACCCAATGGGTGAGAGTTGACAGCCCTGTAAAGATTACTTTTTATCCTGACAGAGGAACTGTCCTAATTTGATAAACTATTTGGGAAAACATTAGTTCTGACGGGCAGCAGGTAGATATATTAAGAGGGTGTAACAGACTCAAACATCATAATCCTAACAACATGGAAACCAGAAAACAATGTTACAAATGTTCAAACCAAATCTCATTATGAACATTTGGTGTATACCATCAAGTTTTTACTTTTACTGTGTTGATTTTTAATTTTGAAAAACAAAATGTAGTTCTAATGTAGTTCTCTATCTGCTGTGGTATTTGGTTAAATAAATGAACAAATCTTCAATTAAATACATCTGCTTCGTGGGCACCACCATCATTGATTCTGCCATCTTCTCGTTCAACGCAATCTTGTACGCTGCCGCCACCACCAGGGACAAGAGTATGCTGCAGTGTATTGTTCCCTCTGCAGAGAGCGAGGGATTGGTTGCAATCTTCTCTCATGGGGACCTTACAGGAAAGATTGCAGCTGACCCCTCCCACCCTGAACACAAACCATTTCAGACTCTCCCATTTGGTAGGAGGCTGCTGTCCATTTGGACAACAACCCCCTGCCACAAATAAAAGTTTCTTCCGGTCTGCATCTAGCTTCATTAACAAGCTCCAGGTTCCCCACTGATACTTTCCTGTTGCAAATATCTGTACATATTAGCGCTTTTTCAAGTCAGAAGACCAAAGCGCTTTACACTACATTCAGTCATTCGCTTATTCAAGCACACACTCTCACACTGATGGTGGCAAAGTACATAATGTTGCATAATTTGAATAGTTGCCATGGTGTTCATCCTATTCAAAAAGCTGTACTAGTTTCTCTTTTTTCATAACTTTACTATAAAATCACAATATGTATAGTGACAGATTTATATATGTTAAAAGCCTGTTTGTCTGGGCATGCTTTGGTGGTGCAGTGGTTAGCATACATGACCCATGCATGGAGGCCTTAGTTCTCGATGCAGCCGACCCAGGTTTGAATCCAGCCTGTGGTCCTTTCCCGCATGTCTCTCTCTCATACCCCCTTTCCTGTCAGCCTACTGTCCATAAAAACGACCCTCTAGTGCCACAAAAACTTAAAAAAAAAAAAAGAGTATGTTTATCCTTTTTTGATTTAGTAAACAGAAAACATTGCAACTAGAAGTACCTACTGGTTTTAGGGTCCAGTTTGCAAAACAAAATAAAAGAAAGGTTCCATATATTGCCCTCTCAGGGTCGCAAGGGGGCCAATGACAGTATCCATTGGAGACTGGGCGAGAAGGCAGATCAACAGTCTTTCACCGGGCAATATTTTTGTAATAACGTCTTTAATAATAAGTTATTTTTTATTATCGAAAAACCTTATCTTGACAGTCAGATGCTGTAGCAAAAATACCCTGTACCTAACTAACCCAAACCTGTAGTACATCTAAATAATTTTTTGGATCACTACTACCTTCCTCTGTTACACCATGATGATGGATTTTGTTGTCGGATGCAACTAAGACATGGTTCTTACTTCCAGGTACGTTGTGCCAGTCGGCCCCATTGATGATGTTGTTGTATCTGAGGAAGTCCTTGTTGTGGCACGGCCTCCGGTCATGGTTGGACATGACCTGATTAGATTAGATAATAGAAATATTAACTACACTCTTTCACTTCCAGGTGGATGTTGAACTTAGCATTAAGACGTAAAGTTCACCTTATTGGTGCTGGCATACGCTGCAGCGAGCCAACGAAAGAAGCTTTCATCTGGGGTGGGAGTGTGTTCGCGAGGCGCCCAGTCCCGGGTCATGTCATATGGGTAGGTGACAACAAGCTCTCCCCCGTGGAGGTTTGCACCCAGAACAAAGGGGATTGTCTGCATCCAGCTGATTACAGCCCGGGTCTCAGGTGCAACCTGAAATTAAACTTCATAGCTATGGATTTTTTTTGTCAAAACTGATGCATCCACCAAACATGTTAACCACAAACAGGCTAAATTGGAAGTCACCCAGTTTTCACTTTTCTGATGATATTGGGACACTTATTCTGGAGTCTTTGTCAATTCTGTTTGCTCACAGCAGAGAAATCTGTTGTTGGGGCATTAATGTATTTAAGCAACATGAAGGTCAAATGCAAATTAAATATTCATCCCTTGTTCTTCTAAAGTGTTGTTGGAGTCTTTAGTTTTGCATGGGATCCAGATGTCAACATTTCTTCAAAAAAACTGAGTGAAAGTCTAGTAGCCTTTTAATTTAAGCCAGTTTGTGGTTGCCATGACCCGGATGACTAAGAATTTACACAGACACACAGAACATGTTGAGTGACCAAGGATGAAATTAATAATTTCACCAAAAAAAAAAACAATAGTTTTATAAATTGTGATGGTCCAAAATATATGAATATTAACTTCTGATTTCAATGCCAACATTGACCTAAAAGGATTCTACACTAATAGGAATAACAGGTTGAAGTCACGTGAGCTCCAGCATTGCCAGATCCTGGTTGCTCCATTACAGAGCTGGTGAAATGTCTTCATTTCTTTCTTACATTTATCTAATTTAAAGTCGTAGGGAAACGGCCGTTCCAAACATTGCATTTCTGAATTCTCCCGAGTGGTGCACAACTTTACATGAGTGAATAAAGTGAATGTGATTGGTGTTTATCAAGAGGGCCGGATTTTGTGGCAGAAGGTGCGC